AATATACAGAAAAGTGTCCTAAGCTGTACAGCAATATACTATGAAAGGATAACAAAAAAAAAACTCCCCTCCAAGTCATTAAGTGAAAAGATGCAAAGCAAATCTATAAAAGTGACAAAGGGTGTTAATATAATATTAACAGAGCAAAATATTTTCATGCCATGATGGTGGAAAAAAAGAAAGAAATTAGATTCAAGTTAAAACAGGCTTTATAAATAAGATAGTTTGAAGACTATTTCCATCTTTTTCCTATCTGCTCCCACCCTCTCTTCCCCCATCCCCCCCCCCCCTTTTTTTTTTCCCCTTTTTTTTTTTTTTTTTTTTTGCTTCAGGCAGACAATTAAACAGTCCATAAAGCCAACTGCCTGAATTTGATGATCTCAGAAAAACAAGCTTCTATCATCACAGTCTAAGAAGAATCTCAGGCTGAATGATTGACTGTTTTATGTGAGTTGTAAACACACTTCCTGCTGCTAGCCAACTACCTGCATTCCTGTCCATTTAGGAACCTGAGCTTGCTAAATTCCACTACAGCCATGGCTGCCCCTGTGCAAATGAAGACATAGCTGCTTTGAAGCTGGAGGTTTGATATATCATTTCCTGGTAAGCAGGACTTCCATCTCTTGGCAAGAGAGAAAAGAATCATGGAAGAAATTGTGAGTAAGAGACTTTCAGAAACAGCTAATTATTGCTACATGATTCTCTCAAAACAGTATAGTCAAATATTTAAGATACTTTCTTCAGTCCCCTACATCTCAGTCATTGCTGACAGCATGAAAAACAAATATCGTTATGTTCTATTAACTGTTGTGGGCTTTTGAAATCTTATGGAGGAACCTGCCTGAATTGATATTGCGTGAGTTTCGGTTGCAGTTGCTGCTTGAAGACCTAAACCCAGTGTCCACCGTGACTGTCAGCCTCCGACAGACTAAACACCCGCCGTCGTCCTTTCCTGCCAGATCTTACTAGAGGAAAACACAGTGATATATCATACGAAGGCTTTAACAATGAAACAAGGAAGGGAAACTGGAATGAAGACAAAGGATAAATGTTAGAGTAGCAACAAGAATAAGTGACAAGGACACATCCATAACTGCTGATATCTTGAATATAATTTAACTAAAGTTTTTTTTTGCTTATCTATCTGGAAATGTACATGATATGTTTTGGGCTAAGTCTTGCAGTTCTGACAGCAGTTACAGTAAGGTGGAACTGGCAGGCCTTTGCACTATAATATGACTCATGCTTTAAAAAATTTAAAAGAAGCTATCTTATTATAGATTCTGGTGATACAGTATTATTCCGATTCTCACTGGCAATAAATAAGAGGTGTACTACTGAGAAGCTGACAGTACTTCAGATCATTCAGCACTGCTACCCTAAGACAGAAAACTGAAGTATTACACTTGGATTATAATAAAGCCAAATGCAGTATTTTTAAAAGATAACAGCAGTTAAGATGATGATGCTCAGTGCATAGAAAGTTTCTGGAAAAGAAACTTTCGAGAAACAAAAGTATTTCTTCCTTACTTAGTTAGAAAATTACTAGCATCATAGAACAGAAACAGTCACAGCACACTTACTTTACCGATCAGAAAGGGAAGAGAGAGGGATGGTTTCAGTAAGATGGCAGGCAATGCTCTTACAGGTTCTCCATGCTTGATAAAGCATCCTCTCCTTGGTATATATAATTTTATTTCACAGACTGGAATACAATTGATTCTGTGCAACAAGAGATAGCTCTTTCTACTTGTTTTAGTTCATTTACCATCAATATCTGCCATAAGTGTGAAATATAGCATAAATGGCATAGAAGATCAATGCCTTCTGAAGTCCTCAACAGCCATTGCTTCAGTGTAAACATTTTCTTAAGTAATGGAGTCAATTGCATTAGACAGCTTAAAAAGTGATAAAATACAGTACAGATGAAATTACATATACATACTTCTGGAAGAATACTAACTTCCAGTAAGACAGTTTCTTTATCTTAATTCTTGGCATATATAAAAATAGGCACTTAACAAAAGTATATAGTTTCTGATAGTGCAGCCAAGAAGAGACTGTATTCTAAGCTCAGAAGCTTAACAATTAAGCTCTGCCCAGCGAGAGAACATTTTTATCTTATGCACAGCAACACAGACATATTCATTTGAAGAAAATTTTAAATATATATGTATGTGTGTGTGTATGTGTGCATATATATATATATATAGATAAAACCAAGCTGACAGCAGTGTTTTCAGAACCTGATGCTGCTTTTTGTGTCTTGCTAGAGAGTCTCCTTTCTTTAATGAACATCTTCCACTTCTTCTATTTTAAGAAATTAAAATCTTGCAAAAGGCTAACCTTAATTCCCAAATATTGTAAATGTAGGAGCTGCTAGGCTTTAAAATACCTATGCCATGAAGCATTGTGACAGTGTTCGGGTAGGATAGTTGGTAAACGCAGGAAAAGTTTAATTTATTCATTACAAAGCAGATAATTCAACTATTGTTCTCTTACAGTGATTGAAAAATGCGTAACAGTCATACAATTTTATGTAAGTTTAGTTAACCACCCTCCTCACATTAAGTAAGATACTACGATAATGTTTATGCAGGTAGGAGTGATAGTAAAATATTCTGAATACAAAATGAAAGTTAATTTTTTTCCTGCAATACATTTCGCAAAAAATTCCTTTAGTATTTAACTGTTAACATGTGCACTACCTTGTAACATTGTTTTTTCTCCACTAACAAATACACAACTTTTCTGTATTTCATTCTCGTCTGTCACTGCTGTATGTAAGCATCAATGTATTATGTTCTAAATCTTACTCCCTGGAGCAACCCTAGGAAGATTACCAGTGCCATCTCAAATGCATCAAACTTTGTACAGCCTACATCTCTTAAGAGCGCATAGCCTGGGGCAACATAATCAGAAGTTTACTGTAGAAACAGCTGTCATGGTTTACGATGTTGCTCTTAAAAAGGTAGTTGGAGTAGTTTCCTTGAAGTCCATATACCCATCTCCCCCTTTTCTTGGCTGGCCTTCTTTGACTGAACTTTCTGGGCAACTTAGCAGATTCTCACTGTGTTCTTAATGGTCAACAACCTGATCAACCGGCAGAAGAAATAGGGTAGGAGGAAGGGAGGGACAGTGAGCATGTATACGTGCTCACATGAATATGTGTGCACACACATGCGTGTGCGTGTGTCTGTGTGTGTGTGTTTAAAATGGGATGGGAAATGAGAGGGGAGACTCAAATATGACAGATGGTGTCAGCATTCAAGTGCTACCCTGGGGCACAAGACAGATGTTGGTAATTCTGCTTGCTGTTCACCAGTTACTTGTTACTTCCTGCTTTGAAGAAGTGACAATCTTTCATGCCACTTCATATCATGCAAGCCTCTTCCTCTACTTCACAGCAGAGTAAGGCAGCTTAGTTTCAACAACAGTCAAGTTAACTGAAAATCGCTTAGTTTTACACTGAAGAGGACAAATACCACCAGAGCTGTTTTAGTAGCTCACTAAGTGGGTTATAAGAGCTGATATGGTAAGAAACATAGTGGTCAAGATACTGTCACTTAGTTCAGCAGCATGTATTTCGGTTCATGCCCAAGCCTTCAAAACAGCCATCTGGACAAGCCAACCAGATTGTCCCTTTCACTGTCATGCTTCTGGCAGCAGTTTCCAGTACAGATCACAATTACGTATAAATACTATAAAAAGGAGAACATTGATTACCAACTTGCAATAAACTGATCAAATCAGTTAACACAGAAAAACTGCTCCCAGAAATACAGATCATAGAATTGCTCTGACACTGAATATTAATGAAAAGTGTGTCAAAGCAGCCATCTGGGGTAGAGGGGACCCTTCCTCAAAAGGACCCAGCTCCAGAACCTAGGGGATTTCGGAATCCTCTCTAGTCTCAGGACCTTGAGACACCATTGGCTACTCAACTATAAGTATTTAGAACGTTACCTGTCCATTACTGGCTGCAAAGACATTAATGTTTTGGTTCAGACCAGTTGAGCAGTTTTGAAGAATTTTGCACACTTATTGTTTTAGTCCAGTTTGAAGAGCAGTTTGGATGTGCATGAACAAGTTTCCTTCACAAGGAAACTAAACGATAAGATATGGAACGAGTGTGCACAAAATGCACTTCAAACATTAACAGAAACGTAGTTCTGAACCAATAATCAGTCTTTTGGACAACTTTGAACCACATGCATGGCAGGGATGCTTGATCCAGGAGATCATTTAGTGGTTTGTGGTTGTCCCAAACCACATGCTGGACAAATGTGTGAACCTCAGCACCAGCTGTTTGTTTTGCCATTGCATTGAATTACCTGCTCATGCACATATAGTCACTGTCTTCCTCCAAGATTACTGCCCTCAGAGTAGACTACCAGAACAAAATCCAGAGTTGAGCTCAAAATTTATCACTGCAGCAATCCAATGCAAGCTGCTGACTTGGCACTGCCACAGCTGAAGCAGACTCCTGTTTGTTTCCACCAATTTTGTTGAATGTCACCATCCCCAAGGCAATAGGGCACAGACTTCTTGTGTCATCACAATTAGATTTGCTAAATCGTATCCCACCAGCGTCCCTAGATCCTATGCAAAAAAGAGACTCTTCTTTCCTGCATGACATGCAGCATTTTGAACATAATTTATGATTAAGCCACAACATAGGTCATACTAAACGTGGGCAGTTCATTCAATCTAATTGGTAAAGTGCAGACCTAGAAAACAGACTTTTCAAAACCTCCCTCTGATTTTTGTTTTTCAAACAATGAAGAGCCTCCTCTCACTAGGCTTTTTTAATTGCAGGAAAAGTAAACAGAATTTTACATTACACAAATGCCTCTATACTGAATAAGTAGATTTTATTTTTGCAATTGCAGCCTATCATTATTCTTCTATGATGTACTATCTTGTTATGCTAGATAGGGAATTATCTACTCTGGAGCTACTCAGTTTTTCCCAGAGGTCAGATTATATGCATTTGGAAAGATCTCTGTCTGATACATGGAGTACAGTCTTGTTTGATATTTCTATGAACTACCATGTTACTTACAGCAACAAAAAAAATTTTTTTTAAACTCCTTTACCATAATTCTTTCTTAGTCACCGTTGCCAAGAACTTGTAGTTGCATTTCATTTCTTGATCACACTGAGGATTAAAATAGAACATAGGGCATAGCAGGGAAGGCTTTTGAGAAATCATACTGCTCCTTCCCTTTGCGTAAACTCCATGTATTTGTCTAGTCTCTCAAAAGACTAAGTAACAGTAATCATTTACCAACAAAGAAAATAAAATGAGATCCTTCCACAGTTTTGAATAGATTGCATATAACCCTCCCCTCCAAATTCTAGTCCAGAATTATGCATGCTGTAAGAATATTTTGACTATACGTGAGTCTATCATAACACGTTTTTTAATCTAGAGTTTGGGTGCTAAAATACTTTCCATATTGTTCATAAACTTGATAAGCAGCCTTTGTTTACCCTTTTAAGTGGTACTTCTTGCAAGAAGGATAGCCACTTCAGATATGTAGTGTACATTGATCTCCTGATGGTGCTCAGTGATACTAAGGCATTTTATGACCTAGAGAACACTAAATGCCTAATAAAGATTGCATCATTTCTGGTATGATTACACAAAAAGTTAAATTTAATCTACCTGAGGCTTTCAAATGAAGGCAAAATGCTATGCCATAATAGAGGGAACTGGAAAAATCATTTCAAAGTGATCAACACTGAAGGTGACTACCAAAATGAGGCGACTGTTGCATTTCAGTGTGCATGTTTCACAGTTTCTTGCTCAGCCTCCAACTTGAGGCTCTGTACCATATAACTGGTATTCAGAACAAGCAGCTATAGGATGCTCTGATAACACAACAGATGAAGGAAGAATGAAGGAGTTCTAATGCAACAAGCCGTCCCAGTATAAACAGACCCACTAAGTATACAGTACATACACAGCTTCATGAAAGTTAATAATTGTCAGTTAGCTTCTGTGCTAGCTTCCTTCACACCAATGCAACAGCCTCCGCAGCTATGTTTTGTTCAACCAAAAGTTTTATGGCAAAAGCTGTACAGCATTAGCATCTGAATAATAACTGTTTTCAAGTATCTTATATTTGGCTCATAGTCGATTTAAAAAAAGTATCAGACAAATGTATAAAAGCAAATGCTGCCCAGTTCAGAAAAGATGATTCATGTGAAATCTCCTACTATAAATTTATGCAAACCAATACTTTTGGTTAAAAAAAAAAAAAAGGTTGTATGTGCTAGGAGACAAATCAGACAAGCAGGAAGTTATTTCACCAGTATTTAAAATCATCACTGAAAGATGTCAAGTATTTAATGAATACAGAATTCCAGAAATCTGAAAAGATCACTAAAATTTGCACTGCAATTTACTTTAACTTACTGAATTATTGAGTTAAATACAGACTAGGGCTTTATGTTTTTAGAGCACTTGATCATTTTTCTAAACCAGTTAATTTTATAATAAACTACTGTATATCCCTTAGTTCCTAGGCTGAAAATAGTGATTTAATACCTGATGGGCTCTGTGCAGCAGAAGGAGTGGAATTTGAGCTTGCAGTCACTGAATCACAGCGCCCTGTACTTCCACTGCCACTGGAAGGAGATGGTGATGAGAGTGGTGATGGATTATGCTGATTTATACACTGGGCTACAGCAAATCCTGCAAGACAGGACAATGACATTTACTAATAAATAATTAGCTTGGAAGAGTTCACCTACGTCAGCAAATCGAGAAAGGGTAAGAGAATATTTCATCAAAATAGTGTCAATTTGACATAACAACTCAGAGGAGGTACCTTCTCTCACTTCCATCTCTGAAGTCTGAAACTCTGAATTATTCACAACTGAAATATGCTATCTACAACTGCTGATCGATGAACAAGAAAACAGAAGGTAAAAGATGGAAAACATTTTGAGAATACCAAGCTTGGGAAAAAAGTGAAAATATGTCAAAACCCTATGCAGTTTTTGGCATATTCGATAAATTAAAGGGCCACAGAGCTGGAAGTGATAACGGAAAAGGTTAAGACAAAAATCCTCAGATAGAAAGCCTGCACTACATTTCTTAGTGCAGTGATACTGTCTTTGGGAAATATTGTCTATCAGAGCCAATGCTGGCACTGGATTTAGTCCACCTTCTCATAAGCCAAACGTTCTCCAGTTTAGAATACAGGGCATTTGATAGAGTGTCTGATAGCTCTTTTTAAAGAAGTTTTCTTTTAGCTTCCATTCTAATGTTTCCTCATACTCTTCAGACTGTAGCATCTTCGTAGCATCTGCCCCTTCCTTTCTCCTTCCTCTGCAGTCCTCGCTTCAGTCTTTGACGTGTTGCAAGTTTTTTCACTTCAGTTCCTTGCCTCCTCTATGTGTAACGCCTTGTACACTTAATCCTTCAAGAAGCAATTTCCAAAAGTACTGAGGACCTGCAGCGCACACTGAAGCCCATCAGAAGCTTAAAACTTGGGAGAAGGAGTGCAACAAAAGAAATCGCATCCCTGACTTCTCAAACCCAACATCTCTGAATTTAATGACCTGAAAATGGGGTACTTTGCAATATTTAATTTCACGAATTTGATGAAATTCTCACAGCAAGCCAACATCAGAAGCCATAACTACCTGACATCTGTCATGTTTTCATTACAAAAAATACACTGAATCATAAAGAAAACAACATTATTCAATACATGGTTGCATACAATAACGAAAAGCAGCCTACTGCATGCAGAAGATGTGCTACAAGAGAGACAACGGAAACTTATTCTTTTGTTTACTGGTGAATGCACCTTATCATTCAGTCACATTCCACTAAAATAACTGGCCACAAGGGTGTCTCTAGTTAAAGTCCAGTAGCACAGCGGACACCTGCTGACCACTTAGTAGCAGTAAACAATTAGTATAGTTTGCTTCTATGGGTGACAATGATGATATCATAACATTATCCAAAGTGAATGCCACATAAAAAACTGCTATTTGACATGATCACCAGCTTTTATTTATTAATATCTATATTTTAAATAGCTGTTGCCCTAAACTGTGGTTAAGTGATGACAGACTACAAGAACAGTTTCTCCACATTAACTCATAACATTGTTTTTTGGAGTTTGGTGCTCGTAATTACCTAAGATGTATAAACAATTATTTCTAGCTTTAAAATCCATTTTGACTTCTTGCAAGCGGTCAGCTCTCAGCATTCGACCCAGCTATGTCCTCTGGGGAGCAGATTACGTTTTCTCGCTATGTAAACACACACAGATACTCTATCTTGAAATAGACCAACAAGCGTTAATCAGAGGGGAGTGAAAATAGCAATTTGTTTCTCTGATTCTTATTTCTTAAGCATTTACTTATTTCTATCATAGAGAAAATACACAGCAAGTTTTATTTTTACAGGCTCCTGATAAAACTCATCCATCACAAGCCTACATTAATTAATTGAAAAAGTAAAACACAATAATCGTATCTCCATTATACATGCTTTTAACCAAGCATTACCTAAAACTACAGTAGAACATAAAAGAATGACCATGTGATTTTGTTCAGCTCTCATACTTAGTTCTTTTCAGACTCATTATTTTTTATTCAAGTATCTTCTCAAACCTGCTCTATAATCCAGATCTAAGTAGTTCAGACAATTACGTTTCCAACACTCATGCTATATAATCTAATAAATTTTCTCCCGTGTTCTGTATTGGTAACGGTCTGTTTTCAGGAATGTTCACAATTCTAACAATAATAAAGATATACTCCTAATACTATTGTTTTCTGAGAAATCCTCACACAAGGAAGCGATCTGCATGGTATAGGCTGCAGTGCTGAACTGTGAAGAATGCAAATGAGCTTTGTGCAAGAGATGTTTCAAAGTTAAACAAAAAAAAAGAAGTGGAATTCTAGCTAGATCATATCCTAACTTAACTTTCTTACAGGATGTGAAGTATCTGATCACTATTATTAACCTACTGAGTTTAACAAATTACTTGGAATGTTGTGGGATTTTTTTTCAAGGTACATGGTAATTCAGGTTATTTAATATCTCAATTTCCAAACTGTTTTCAAAAGATCCCGTATCAGATTTCAACATGACTAAGTGGCATTCAGTATTTGTGAAAGAAAATAAGCTAATACATGTTTCAACTCAATAGTCACTCTAATTTCATAAGCGAAGAAAACCCAGTAATTAGTGTGTACTACCATTCCTATATAGTCTGATGGTATTCTCAGTTTCCCTCACCTTGAAATTATTATTCATAGTTTGCTATTACAGCTAGAACACCAGTCAACCACTGGCCAACACAATACTGTGTCATCTTTATTCCAAAAGCATTTTTCTGTAACTTACTAGAAGATTGTTTAGGCAACCCAAGCTGATGTTATTAGCAAAGCATCAATAACTCAGTAGAATGAGCACAGCCAGTTTTGGGGATCACAGAACATAACTTTAATGGACTTCTCTACTCTTAGAAAGTCCTTTCCAAAATTAGTGTTCAAGAAACACCCGTCCACAGTGCCACCTGTTTCCATAGGGAGAACCTATGGAAACTTCCATAGGGAGAACCTATGGAAACAGGTTACTGGAACTGATACAGACATTAACATACGAAGAAAACTAAACAGTAGCCACCGATACTTGGAGCTATCTAAATATGGCTGCTCCAAAGACGATTAGTATCTGTAACAAAAAAGATTTTGTAACTTACATGGAGATATTACTGTACACAGACAATAAGTCTGGTTGACATGATTCACTTGTGATAGTTTCAAACTAAATATAACACTAATAAATTTCAGATATTTACAGATGATAAATACCGAAGGCATACATTTGACTAGTTTCACCTCAACATAAACAGAAATACAGGACTGTCTTTGGAAGATGGTTAGAACACTTTAGAATACTGGTCTTGGAGAAAGTAGTCATTTGTGGAGAGAAGCTGAAAGATGGAGATTGCCAGCCAAAGAAGGACCCAAAAAAAAAAAGTCTAGTTTACCAAAAGCATGTTATTTTAACAAATTTTTTCCCCCTCAAGAATTCATTTTCTATTCACAGTTGACAAATAGACTTTTGTTTGATGTTTCAATCATCTTGTATTTTTGACTGATTGCAAAAAATTCCTTAAAGCTTATATTCTCATTTAACAGAGGGATTTATTATTGCTGGGACAGAGGCAAGTAAGTGTACTATGGCTTTCAGCAGTCCCAGAATCAAGGAAATCAGAGCACTTAACTTGTATAAACCCTCTGCCAATAGCTTACCAAAGAAAAGTTGCTCAGGGACAGTATAAAGGGCCAAGGCTTGACAGCAAATTTCCTTTGGCATAAACCCCTGCTGAAGAATACCAAGACTTGCAGCAAAATGCTCCAATTCTGAAAAACTTCAGAAATTCTTTTCACACACTTTCTTGACTCAGATATGCGGATCACTGGCTTGGGATGACCTGCCAACTCACTCGTGAATAGGCTGCTTGAATAAGTCAGAATATCTCCCATGAGACGAAATTAGTAAGTTACCCCCTATTGTTTCTTTCAATCAGTCTTATTCCCTTTCTTTTTCGCTCTGTTTTTTTCAGTTGAATTTTTAACTTAGGTTTTCATAGTTTTGTCATTACAAAAGTTGATAATTGTATGTTGAGCTGCATTAATGTTACAAAAATCCCAAAGGATCACAACTTACATTGTCTAGCATCTAAGAATACTATGAAATACCTGCTATAATTTACAATATGCTGTGAAAGCAAATTTCATGAACTGCCTTTGCCACACAATTCCAGTGAAAACAAACATTACTGTATTGTTCACTCTTGCCTGACTCTTCCTTTTGAAGATTACACACTTTGGTGTGGTTTACTTTGCAACTTTCCTCACAACAAGGTGCCTATAACAATTCCTTGATTTTCTTAGCAAGGCTTTCTTTTGACAGACAGCTTTTCCTCCAAAACCTTGGAAGCTTTTACTCATCCTTGCAAATTTGGTTAGCCATCAGCTTTTCAGAAGCAGAAGTACCTCTTGTAGCAAGAGAAATAACTTCAACATGGGTCAGGTGACGTAGGAAACTGTTAGCTGCTTCTGCCGCACTCCTCACTCTCCCACAGCAAGCATCAATAAAAAAAAGGTTACTTTCTATTAGCAGCCCCTGAATTACTCAAAATAGCCATGACATGTACAGTATGAAACACCTAACAACACACCACCCACTTGCTGTCTTTACTACATAGTGAACATTAAAGCATAAAGTATTTGACAAGCAGATACACAAGAAAGTGAATGCTCCACACAGTAGTTTATTCTTTTATTAGTTTATTCTTTTTATAGTCTCTTGTGGCACTGGATGGATGATTCACCCATTTTAGAAAAACTCCCATATGGGGAATTTTCAGGTGCCCTGCAGCAAGCAGCTAGTCAAAACTCAGTTTAAACACGTTTGTTAGAAGCAGCATAGAGCATACGAAAGCTTTAAACAGATGTTACTGCTGCTAAAAGCATTCTCCTGACGGGATGCATTACAAAGAAAAGCCGCCAGAGAGGCTGAAGAAAAGATGACATGAAGAAGAAAGGTAGCAAATATCAGTTCTGTTAATAGTTTGATTTCATCTGTTGTCCCACCTCTTACCCTGCACTGCCCATGGTTCAAGAATTCAAGAAATGGACTGAAGCACTTGCAGAAAC